TTCCACTCGCAGGCGCTTCTTCACGGATGTGATCAGGGACATGATCTCCTTGGCAAGCTTTCCTTTCTCCTCCTCTTCTGGGAACGAAATGCTGTACGAATGCAGTTTTCCCAAGGCTTCCCTGCACAGCTGACCCACCTCACGGAGCTCCCTGCTCTCCCCATGGAGCCACCGGTGCACGGTGGCGAGGCAGAAGGCAGCTTTGATAAAACTGTGGAGCTCCTGCTTGCTGGTGATGGGACTCTGGTCATCCTTGGTGAGGAGCCCGATCTCGAAGGATTCTTTGGCTTCAGACAAGTAGAACTCTCTCTTTTCCGGGGGACAGTCCTTGGAGTGACTGTAGGACAGCAAACACATCCCACGGATGTTCTGGGAGGGGATGAAAGAACGAAGGAATTAAAAAGGTGTTTCTTTCCCTTATACAATTTGAAGCAAACACTGGCTTTAACTCTCTGCTGCTGCGTTTCCTGGAGGGAATAAACTCCCTCTTTTTCCTTCGAAATAGAGTTGTAGTTGCAGGAGAAGCAGCAAGGTGGACAGCCTTCCACCCTGGTTGGAGTTCAGAGCAACTCATACCACATATAACCAATCACACCCACAACGCAGCCACGATACCCCGTGTGACTCAGCGTTTGAAAGCCGGACTGGAGCCAAATTTAACAGCCAGGGCTCTTCCCCTGCACAAATCCCACTTGCAGAGTGAAGATGAACACTTACCACGGCCGTGAGGACAAACAGGGGGGTGTACTGGCTGTAGGCTGCTGCCAGCTTGCAGGCCTCAGCAGCGGATAACAAGCGATGGCCGGACTCCTGGAGGAAGCTCTAGTGAAAGGAAAGAAAAAACATGAGGGAAAACCTCATGTCAAATGCTCTGTTTCCCTCATGTCAAAGGCTTTATTTCCAAGGAGATAGGACTTGATAAGCAGGGACATCATATCTTAAACAACAGCCAGGTCTGTTTCCTCAGGAGCATTTTTGCTCAGGTTTACCATCAGTATGTCACTTTTTGACCCTATAAATATTCTATATATTACAGACACACACACTCCATAAAATACTCTCAATGTTTTCTTTTCCCATCTGGGTGCTAATTAACTTTTTCACCGGGAACAGTGGAAGTTTCTTCAGCCCTCTCAGCACAGGAGGGGAACTGGAGGGAGGGCAAAGTGTGTGTGAATTTGGGACAACATTCAGACAACATCTGAAGAATCTAAACACCCAAATCCCAAACCAAGTCTCACCAAGTCTATGTCAGCATTGGTCTTAAAACGTGCATAATCCTGCTCATTCATGGAAGCAAAGATGTCTGCCATAAAACCCAAGGAAGTGGCAATTCCCTGAAAGAGAAATGGAAAATGATCAGAGTGAGTTTTCCCCCTGTATTTTGAATTTTATTGCTCTGAATAAAGTAGGTTCTGTGTAGAATATACTGGGGGAAAAAAAATACAACAAAACTAACAAGATGCAAAGATCCAAAGATCCAAAGAGAAGCATTTCTAAGAAATTCAGAGATGTCATCTTGATAAGCTTTTATTAATTTCATCTTGCAGGAAGTGTAATCTGGAAGATCTGATGCCACCTAAGGGTCTGCCCAGCTAAACAGTTAAGAAAGCCAGGAAGTAACTGCAAGCTTTCCACAAAAATTCCCTAAAGAACTTTTGCTCCCACTGAAATGGAGAACACAGAAACGTCCTGAGCTTGAGGTCAAGCTTTAAGGCATGGCAGAGGAGAGGTGACAAGGTCTGGGTTTGTGGGATATCTTGTGCTGGGGTCCAATTACAAAACCTCTTCAAGCCTCACCCCGGGACTTGCCAGGCTTAGGTGCACATTCCTGTTTAGCTACGGACACATGGTGCAACTGTTGCTTCATCTCCAGTGGGAAGATTAGTGCTGAAAAGCCTCTCAAAGGTGCTAAAGACAGACACAGTGGCTGTTGTGAGGTGTTCAGGTTCTGCAGTGCCAGGGAAACCCATCACTTAACACAGATAGTGCAGAGCAGCTCAGCAAATAAACCTAGCTTGGACACTAGGAAAACCAGGGAAACAAAATTAATTTTAATCCCAATAAAAAACCTAAAATCTGTGGCTGCGTTCTGGGATTAGTCTGTCCTTGCTGAAGGCACCTGTGACATTCTGGTTGATGGTTCACTTTGGGTGATTCTGCTTAATGAGAACTGTTACTTCCATGCCCCTGCAGGACAAAAAGGTGTCGGTAGGTCCGTGCATGCATGCGGAAACAACGTGGAATACAGACTTTGTCCTGCCTGTTAACCCTGGCTGAGGTGTGTAATTGAGACACTATTGCTGAGGGACTTGGTTGCAGCAAACAAAAGCTACTCTGGAATGATTATTGGATTGGCAAGCACATCCAGAGTGGAAAGGAAACACTACCTTCTTATCTGGCTGAGGAAGTTTGAAGTATCCCACGAGCGAAGCCCAAATCAACTCTGCTGCCTCATACCACATGCCTGAAATCAATCAGAAAACAGTCACTGAGCAGATGGCAGCTAAGGATTTCCATAGGATAAAACCATACCATTTTGTCCTCATAAGAGACCTCAGCTCAACAGTCATGGAAGACTTTGGTGTTTCAAACCAAAAGCACAAAATTAACACTGTTCCCTCGAGCGTCAAACCCTGAATACAGAAGCCCATCACACTGTTTGATGGACAGGAGGAGTTCAACACAAGCCAAAACTCTGATACATGTCCAATGTAACATTTTAGAGGGGAAAAAAAAATGGAGTGGATGTTTATAGAAAGGAGCCTTACCAAGCTTTTGCAGGATCTGCCCCCTGATCTGCAAGCAGACTGCCTGAACGAGAATCCGATCGCTTCCCTCAGCATATCTCCAGGTACCTGCCGGAAGAGCAGGAAAACTCAGCAGAGTTGCTGTCACTCTAAACCTTCAAGGGTAACCTAAATCCCAGCAAATTGCCAGGATTCTCCCTTTTTTTGCATAGAGGCCCTTCTTGTATGAGAATCTCAGTTTCACATGAAAGAAAACCCCAGAACAGGCTTCCCAAATTTTCCAAGTTGTAGGGAAACCTGAATATATTGGCTAAATAAACCCTGAAAGCTTAAGGAAATGAAGAACAGATACAACCCCCTAAAACAGCTTGTCCCAAAACCAGAACTAAATAATAATGATGTATGGCTGCCAAAATTATTGAATTCTCACTAGTAGAAATACCACACATCCCTCCAGATCTGAGACAAGACACATGATCAGCAGTAGGAGTCATTGGACAGAAAGGAAAATAAAAAGTATAGAATAAAGTATTGATTTAGCCTGTAAGATCAGTGGGAACTGGGAGGAGAAGCATTACTCCAGCAATCTGCATTTTTGAGGGGATAGAGTTGTCTTAGTTTTCTAGATCAGTTTAAACTTCCCTATCCAGAGTATTTTCCCACCCGCGTGAAGATACACAAGGATGAGTTATGAAAGTTTCAAAACAAAGTTGTGTTTCCACATTTTATCAAAGAGTGGTGAAGGAAAGAGAAGTGTGATGTAAGGAGTCATTAGTGGGGTTGTTCTGGCTGTATTTGGAGCTTGTGTAACTGTTAAAATTAGGATGAAAAATCCCACCAAAATAGCAAGTGTGAAACTGGAAAAGAAATCCATACGTACCTGTTGCTCCATTGTCATTAATCAGGCTGCTTAGGATATATTCAGCTTTTAAAAGTTTACCTGATTGAAAATTAAAGGAAAAAAGAAAGGACAGAAAATGAATATAAAAATGTATCATGTGGCATGAAGTGAACAAGAATATTCAGGAGATATCACCAGCACATAGATTTGCTGCTGTCAACAGTTAGAAATGCACATGCCCTACGATCTGTAATATGTGGTCACATAGTGAGATGAAATTATGTGTATATAAGTTTAATTTTACAAGTTATGCATTCCTGGAAGAGTGCTGGGATTCCCAGCTCTTATTTCCCTCCCAGAAGAGAGTAGTCTAGCCTGCTCCCTTCAGCAGGATTCTGTCCCAGGGAAATGTGGGTTTTGGAAACCCATTTTGGTCTGACTGGGGAGTGACTTGACATCCCACCACAGAAAGCACAGCCACAGGAAGATGTGTTAAAAACCCTTCAGGTGTTGTCCATGTTATAGGAATGACGGAATTTTATTTTTTTATCCTGGAGGGGTTGCAAGCTGACTTGTCTGCATAGTCAAGTGGTCCCACTGAAAACTAAAAAGCAGCTGGGACGGTGCAGAGAAAATGCCAGGGTTCCAATTTCCTTTTTTTCCAGGCCCTTGGTCGGGAGTACAGCAATTCAGACACCCCTGTTTGAAACCAGCAGGGAAGATTTGTTAAGGAACAAAGGCTCCAATTAGTATTTTCCACACCCTTTCACAATTTTCTCTCCTGCTTTTGGCTCTGAAACCCTTTATACCGGCCCCCTTTGTGCTAGTGAGAGGAGCCGGGAGGGCTCGAGGGGGCCGGGAGCGGGAAGTGCGCTCGGAAAGATGGCACCGGGGGCCGTGACAATGTGATCCCGGCGAGGGATGAAGTGTCTTCTCCAGAGTCAAGTAGTTCCTAATGGGAGCTTCCCAAGCGAGGAAGAGGAGCGGTACCTGTGTTAACGGCGAGGCGAGCCTGGCGGATGAGCACCTGCGGGCTGATGGGAGCGCTGGGATGCAGCCGGTGCAGGCCCTTGGCGATCCGCAGGAGTTTGCCGGAGGCGTCGATCCAGTACAGGAACCGGTCAATCAGGAACACGACAGCGCTGGCCGTGGCGCAGTCCCTGACCACGATGGAGGCCTTCAGATAAACCTGGGAAGAACACGGGAAGCCTCAGAGAAACTCGCCCTCAGAGGCTCCAGTGAGCTGACTGTGGAAAACATTCAGCTTCGCTAACCCTGTTCCTCACCCTATTTTCATTTTTAGGATAGGAAGGTGCCAGCTGTTTATTTTGCTTCAGCCGTAGATATGATTCCTGATTTTTTTCTTTTTGGGTCTTTCTAATTGTTTAATAATAACTGGAACCACATAATTTGGTGGTCTGCTAATGAATTAAGTCCTGCCCTACAGATTATGACCAGCAATAGCAATTAGTTTAAAAGGGGGATGTGAGACTGGGAAGACTGGAAATGGTCACTACAGCCATTGTCCCAGACAGAGCTCAAGCCATCCACTCCTTTGTCCACCACAAACAGGCAAACAGGCCAGGTATCCCATGATTTTCCCTGCAGGCCATCTTTAATGACTACTAAGTCTCTAGGAACTCTCCTGGATTCCCACAGTGGCTGAGCCATCACAGTGACATGAGGAACAGTCGGAATTCCTGAGGTGCACGCTGTTCAGAGGCCAGCAAAGGCAGCCACGAGGACACACAGCTTCACTGTGGCCGCAGAAGTTCACATGGACCTGGGGATATTTACCAAACACCACCCCCTTCCCATGGTGGGCTGGGACTGGTATTCCTGCCCGGCGGAGCGAGGAGCTGCTCCACAGGCTGACATCCAGGCAATTACTTTTCCAGATACTGCCAAGACATCTTTGTCCAAATCCCCACTAAAACATCAAGTACCACCCTCTGAGGTGTGCAGGAGGAAACCCGTGTCAAACCCTTTTGGAGAAGAGCCTATGGAACACGGCAGGAAGGCCAGCTTGCAGCACTGATCCATAGCAGGCATTTCCCAGCTCGTTTGCACTTCAGCAAGGAGGAGGATTTGTACAAATTTCCTTCTTTTTTTTTTTTCCCCCCTCCCCTGAGCCTGAGTTGGATTTTCTAAGAGGATGGCACTTGAAAAGGATTCCTGGAGCCCCGGCAGGCACAACTCCGCTTGTGCCGGCCAACAATGGAGGAATCCCCCTCTCCAAGCACCTGTAAACTGACACTGCAAACCAGCCATTCCAAATGCTCATCAACAGGCCATATATTTAAGCACAGAGCATCGCCTAATCTATTTTTTTTCCTCCCCTTCTTCCTTTAATAGATCGGAGCACAAAAGCCTGAGAGAGGGTGACCTACCAAACAAAAGGGCCTTTGAGTCCCTAGGAAAAGTAGACTTGGAGGAGGATGGAAGGAATCCAAGTGGCCCTATTATTTCCACTTGCACTAATTAGACATTTTTCTGTCAGCTATTGAGCACTGCTGAGAGGCCAAACTCACTGAATTCATTTCTAAAGTGTTTACAGAAGTTTGCATCTGTTTGTGTCTCTTCAGGAGGAAAATAAGCACTTCAATAGCATTGTGGAAAATCTAAACGAAGCATCCCATTCTGAAGGGCTTGGCAGTCTTGCAGCTGCATAATTTAACTCTCCCGCTCAATGCCGAAACCTCTTGTGTCCCTCTCCAAACCCAAATGGACACAAAATGTAGAAAAGTCAAGCCAGGGGGAGAAACTCAGCTATTTTTTTTGGGGGGGAGGCAGGGCTGCATGCTGTGTGGCACACAGCGACACGGCTCCGTGTCAAGCCTTTGCAAGGACGTCCCCCCCTGTTCCGAGCGGGACACCGCGAAATTAATACCCGCTCCTTTCATTCCCTGCCAGCTCGTGTGGCTGGAAAATTCCTCAGCACCTCCAGCCCGAGGCCAGGCACGCACCCAACACCACGCACAGAGACCCTCCCCGAAACGCCACTGCCAAGTGAGCCGGGGGGAGCGGCTCCCTGTCACCCAGTCCAGAGCCAGGGAAACCCGAGTGACTCCCAGGATGTCACAGCCCGCTCCAGCACAGTCAGAAACGGGCGCCCTACACAGATTTACTCACTTTCTTTATCGCTTTAGGCACATCCACAGAGAGAGAGAGAGAAAGAGCGAGGTAACGCGCGCACTTTGTTTTCACATCTGTGCCCGCAACGTGAAATGGATCCGTCTAATTGAGTTTGGGACACAAAGGGAACCTCGCGGCTGGGAAGTGGAATCAGGTGGTGGCGGGGGAATTAAATTTGCACCGGATTTCTATACACGGACCATTGGGGAAAAAATGCAAAGCAGCCTTTAGTGAAGGGGGTCTCGCCTTAATGGCGTTGAGTGGGAGGGTGTGCGGTTCGCATGGCTCCCTGCATTAGCGGGTTTAGCTCCTCCTCGCGCCGGGGCTGAAGTTTGGGTCCCCAGCTTTGGGTTCAAAGCCACGACGCCTCCTCTGCATTGACAATGGGGGCCGCTCCCAGGAGAGGGGAGAAGCTCAGAACCGGGGCCATCTGGCACTAGGACGGGCAGGGGAGCGCGTCAAAGGGAAATTATTGGTGCATAGTAAATGAGGATGAGGAGGAGGGGAAGGAAATAGGGGGAAATCTTTATGTGGCAGCTGATGTAAGAGGAATTACAAGCCCAAATAAATGAAATATTGATTTAATCCACTCTCTCGGCCCTCTTTATAAAGCGAAGATCCCAGAGGCAAGCCCTCCTCCCCAGCCTGTGGGCTCAGGAGGATCCCCTTTGGAAAAACGCCTCTGCAAACAGCGTGGTTGGAAAGCAGGGGCAGGAATCATTTAATTTTCAGTGTCCCCACCAGTTTTGCCGACGCTCTGGACTTCTGTGTTTGCTTGTATCCATTTGTCTCAAGCTGTTTCAGTCCCGGCTTCATTTCTAAACTGCAGCTGAAGTTTAAAAATCTTTTTAAAAAAAGCCACAAAACCAAGAGCAGTCGGCAAAGAATTTCTAACTCTGTGCACAAGGCAGGAGTTCCGGAGACACGCCACGTACTTCCAGGTGCCTTATTTTCTCTCCCAAGCACTGCTCCTAGTTAGCACTCCACTGAACCCTAACAAATTGCCCGGTTTTCTTTCCCCCTGTCAGATTAAAGACAGATCCACAACACCGATGGATCCGGCTGAAGCCTTTCACCCTCTTACCCCACGCGCTGCCAGCAAAGCCCGTCTTTCCCAGAGACCAAAGCTGCTGTCACCATCCAGGACTTCTCTATCAATCCCTGCCTTTCAGCTGGCAGTCAGAGCCCACTCCACAAATAACAGGGAATTAAGCCTCCCACCACCTCGGTGATGGGCAGAAGGAAGCGTGGCTGCGAGGAGCAGACGGATACGCCGGAGACGCGGGACAGGGAATCGCCGCAGACCGAGGAACCAGCAGCTCCTGGACACGCTTCCCTCTCGCTCCCAGCAGCGAGACCCTCATTTAATGGCTTCTGAAGTTGTTAATTAGCTCAAGTTATTAATCCTGAAGGCAATGGAGAGTTAGGTGTTTATTCAAAGGCAGCAGCATTAGGTCCACTATGAGCAGTTCAAAACACCGCAGAACGGCGCAGCTTTATGCAACCAAACACATCTTGCTTCACCAACTGGGCCAGTCCTAGAGCGGGAATAATTCCTGCTTTCCTCAGGAAAAAAAAGAGCAGCAGCATTTTGGGGCAAGGGCAGAAGCAGAATCCTTTAAAGTGCCAAGGAAGCTCCTCAAAGAGGGGTTCCTGGGGGGCCTCATGTGTATCAGCAGCGGCTTGGGGGACCACAGTCATCTGCAGGCATTCCTGTTCTTGTTTAGCACCAAGGATGGAGAGGTGCCATGAACATTTCGTGGCCCTGGTTCTTTATAAACTATTGTGGCATGTTAAAATACTGTGTTGAAGGGGATATTTAGCAAAATGCCAGTGACAGAGCAGAGTGGCATCAAGACCATTATCAGCAGCTAAAAATCCGAGAGTTTCTTCCCTACATCTGCGCCCTCAAAGCATCAATCCACCTGAGAAGCAGCTTCATTTGAAAGGAAAACACAGCATAGCGATCTCAGGAATACAACATTTAAAGTCTCTTCCAGGGAGGAAACGCTCCATGAAGCTGCATCTCAGAAAGAGGAAATCCTACCCGGGAGCCAAGTGAAGTGGCATCTCTACACGAACCCAGGATCAGGCTTCCCATTTTTTTTTAGTTGGTGCTCCACATAAATTCTGCTGTGGTTTTCCTCCATACATGGGATCAGGGCTGTCACTCTGGACAGCTAAAACCCTCCTGCCTGCACTTGATCTCTGATACTTCTCACTTACAAAGCCTCAGGGAGCCTGGGGTGCCATGGGTTCCCCTCCTGGTTAGAATCCATCCCTCTCCATCATTCTCTGTCTCATTGGGATCACCCAAGGAGGGCTCTTAGGAGGCAGGTAGCAAAAGGTCAGCCTGAACAACCAAGATCCCAGGGCTAGGATTTAAGGCTTTAGTTCTCCTGTTACCACACCCACGGTTAGAAGGAGGAGAAAACTAAATCCTCAGGCCTCTCTTTAGCTCTCTTTCAAAGGGTCCCAGCCCTTAAGTGCCACACACACACCCCTGTGGCAGTTAGGGCATGTCCCTTGGAAGCACCTAATTAGCCAAAGCCCAGCCAAGGGCTGCAGGGCCTTATTTTCCACTCTTTTCAATATTCCCATTAAATCCCATGAGATTCCGTGCCAGCAAGGCCAGGATCCACGCTCCCCCATTCCCAGCAGGGACCATGGAGCCAGACTGCACAGCTCCCTATAGAGAGTGCAGAGGCACCAGAGTTAGCATCACTCTTGGGGGTTTTCCTTCTGTCTTCCCATTGTACCTATCCCAGCAGATCCTGGTCCATGGCTGAGTGCTTAAGCCTGGATGCAGGAATTATTGATAAGTACAATAAAAATGAAGCAAAGGCCCGCATCATTACAGTGGGTTTGCAAACAGGTAAAAGAAATTGCCAAAAATGATTAAAATATTAATATGGCATGAATCATCCCACAGGAGGGACTATGAGTCGTCCTTCAACTAAACCCACAGCAGGGATTTTGGGATCAAAGTCTATGTGGATATGGGCATGTTGCCCTCTATTGGCTGCTCACCGAGTGTTAGGCTAATTCCATCCCTTGGGATAGCAAAGATCTGCAGGAAGGACACCCCTGGCAGCTTCCCCTCTGGATCCGCAGCCCCACTCCGAACCCCACAGCACATGGTGGTATTTTAGAGAGGAAAAGTAATCCCTCCTCATTTATCCTTGCCAGCAAGGACAATTCTGATTTGGCTTTGATTTGTTAAAAACAAACACCCCAGTGCTTTCCAGTTTTGGCTTTGGATACAGATGTTGGGTATCACCCTTGAAGCCTCAGTGCAGATTCCCACCACGGGGGCTGCAGGATGGGCTTGGTTTGCTGGACAGAAAACGTGGAAAACACCGTGTTGAGCTTGTTGAACTGGGGTGGCCTTTGGGTGCTGAATCCCAGCAGGAAAAAGAAAAATCCCCCAAAAATCCAAACCAAAACCCCCCACCTTCTACGGGGTGCAAAGAAGCACCGAGCATCCCACAGCAAAGAGGAAGAAGAGCACTTCAAAAAAGCCTGCAGGTGCAGGTGGCTTTGCCTTCTTGATGTGCCAGAGGAGCGTGGAGCCGCCGGCAACGCGGATCCCACTTTTTTTTTATAAAGTGCAACAACACTAAGGCAAACCCTTGAAGCCAAAGCCTAATCCGCTTACTCCCCGTGCTGGGTCTCATGGAGCTTTTCAGCCCCACTCCCAGAGTAAAACATCCTCCTGGAGAGAGAGAGCTCCAGTATCCAGCGCTGCCTCCTTCACACACCACCAGTGTGTTATGGTAATGAAGTGCCTTCCATTCATGGACCTCAAAGCACTTTTTAAATGTAATGAATTACGGTTTATGAGCTTACTCTAAGCATGGCAAATTAAAATAAACAGAGAGGGGGAAAATTTTAAAGGTTTTTTTTCGGAACAATAAATCCACAAAGACTTAATTTTTTTTATTTTTTTTTGTCCTCCAGGGAATTAAATTATCCTTCTGTCCCTCATGCCGAAAAAAAAAAGAAGAAAAAAAGTTGCTCAAACTTTTATCTTTCCTCATCACACTGTAATCACTTCTCTTCAGTCTCATTTCCCCCCCAGCTTTTTATTCAAAGAACTGAAGCAGCCTTTGCTCTGCCTTGAAATTTTATTTAAAATAAAAAAAAAGGGGAGGGGGAAAAGGAATGGATGAAGGGGAAAAAAAAAAATCCCTTTTCCTGACTAATACTAATAATACAGGTCAAAATGTCAGTCTATCTACAATTAAATGGAAAACAAAAAAGGTTTTCCCTTTTTCCCATGGTACAATGGCACTGGAATATAAATTACCGATGAAGATGAAATAATACTTCAAAGCACATGGGGAAAGGCAGCACAACGTTTACAAAGTATTTTCCACCGCAGGATGAAACACTGGAGACAACGGCAACCAATGGACTTCAGGGGGTGTGGGTGAATAGTCCAAAACTAGCATGGAGGAGGATTTTAGGTCCCTATAGTCTGTGACCCCACGATAGGCTTTGTTTAACAAGGGCAGCTGCAGTTATCAACAGATGTTTCAGCAATAAATAATTGGTATCATCTCAGAAAAGATCCATCTACCTGGGGAGAGGGCATAATGCTGCAAACACTGCTCCACTATTACAGCCACATTAATCTCCCATCTAGCCAGGTCTCTCGGGGAGTTTACTGCAGGTGTTTATCCCCGGAGAGAGCGGACAAACGCTCCAAAGTGAGGGAGCCACGCCGGGATTGTGAAGGAGGTCAACCTCCGCCATAAATTTCTGTCTGAGGCCACACACACCAAAGAGAGAGAGAGAAAATAAAATACCCAGGAACAGCCACTCCCCGCCCTCCCCGAGGAAATTCAGGAGCCAGGGGGTGCTGGGGCTCCCAGCCCCGTGGTGGCTTTGCCCAGCTCCTCGTCGCTCTGTGCTGTTCCAAGGAATCGCTGTTCCCAAAGGAAACCCAATGGCCTCAGCAGGGCAGGGCTCTCCTGGGCAGGTGAGATCTCCTGGCCACCTTGGAGTTAACAACAGGCAGCAATGGGACTGTGCTGGCTTCAGACATGCACCACAGGAAGCAAAAAAAAAACAAGAAAAAAGCCCCCGAAACTTCCCAAACCTCATTTTTACATGTATCCTGCCAAAGGGATACTCCTTAGCCCAGATATTACATTTACCATGGAAAAGGGTGTCCTCTGTTTGCTCCAAGTCACGCCTGACGTGCCTCTGGGGAGATCAGGAAAGCAAAAAGCAAACCACACTTCTTGCCATTTTCTAATCCTTAAAACTCATCACCTTACAGGACCCCAAACACCTTTGGGTTCTGCAGCTCCTTACACAGCCAAGTACCCTTTACTCACAGGTAGAATTCACATTAAAACCTTGCCTTTCCTGCCTGGGTTTTGGCCAGCTTTGGTCCTCAAAGGGGATTCTGACATGTAATTTTATTGAAAAGAGAAAATTTGAGGAATTTTGCAAGCCCTACTAAAGTGAGTAATCCCCATGGCCTCCTGGAAGCGGGGAATTAAATGAGGAACAGCAGTCTTGTCAAAATCATGGAGTTTTTTTAAAAAACATCTGGCATTTTAGTTTTATTATAAAGCCAGTTCTTCAGGGAAGAGGGAACCATTACGTGAGTGGAAACAGAAACAGAAGTGCCCTGTGAAAGCCCCCAAGCACCCCAGGGGGACGTTTTATACAACAGGTGCGTTGAACTTCATACCAGTAAGTCAGGGAGCCTCGCACTGATCATATCTTGCAGGTTTGTTTTGTCTTCTGGGCCGAGGTCTTGTTTGTATTGCCACTTCTCCGGCACAAAGGGCCACTTCATTTCCTTTGCCTCCTCCAGAAGGGTCCTCAAGTCCTCAGGAAGCAGAGCTGAAAGGGTCAAAGAGCAGGTAAAGATATTGCAGCAGGTTCAGCTGCAGCACTTGTAACACCGATCTTTCTAAAAGACCTTCTCCCAGTCACTACCAGCTCTCAGCTCCTGTCACCGGCCTGGTGGGGAGGGAAGGCTGGCCTGCCATCCGTTCCCCTTGGCTGCTCTGCCCTCCAGGTAAATGGGAGCCCTCAGCCATCAAAAAGGCTTTTAGCAGGAGGCCAGGCCGGCTGGAGGCTGCCTGGGCGGAAAGAGCTGCTCCAAGAGAGGCAGGAGGAAACCTGTTCCCCCGTGTGAGGAGAGGACAACGGGGTCAACAGCACAGAAGACTCGTCCCCCTTGCTCAGGTGACAGTGGCAGAGCCAGCCTGGAAAGCCACATCCAAACTGGGAGACAAACACATCCGAACTGGACCACAGAATGCAATTTAAGAGAGATCTAATGTGATATAATGAACATTAAGAACACGCTCTTAAACATGTTTGGTCCTCCCTGCTCCCTCCCCATTCTGGGCAATCACCACTCCATTGGCTTGGGTTGGATCTCCAACCTGACCCAGCTAAGGATGCAACTGCCAGGAGTGCCCAGCTAGAGATTTGGGCTTGGATTTGTCCCTTCCACATTTAATTTTCCTTGCAAAAGGGGTGAAGCTGCAGCCTGGGTGTGCTGTGCTGTGCTAACCACTTGTCCAGGCAGCCCCTCTGGCCAATAAAAGTGGATTAACAAGGATTATTGACCAGATGGGGTTAATGGTGATCATCAGCTGCAGGTCTGGCCCCTTCTGGCCATTAATCCCCCCAAAAACCCCCTGCTCAGAGACCATCGTTGCTTTAACGAGGCAATGCAATAAATGTATCACCCCATATTTTTTAATCAATCCTTTACGGACAGACTGTAGAAAATGTGCTGCCTAAAAAGTCTTATTTCATGCTCACATTACAGTCCATTGACTAATATGGCTTTCCTAGGAAAAAGCAGAAAGCTGGGTATTTAGGGCCCTTTTCCAAAGGGCCATGTTTCCTCACTTGTTGCTGTCCCAAGGAAACACAGGGTTTGGAAACCTTCCTGTTACACATCCCATGTTTCCCTATCCTCCTGCAGTGGTGTCTGGAGGGGCTCAGCCCTCCATGCCACGGCAAAAAGGTGGCCAAGCAGCAGAGCTGGTGGGGAGAGGAGGTTGTGCTCCCACCCTCACAGTTCTCCCCAGAAAATCAGTGCAGGAGCAGGGACACCCACCTCATCACAAGCAACACAAAATGGCGGACTGAGGGGTTTAATCCCCCACGTAGAAGGGGGAAGACTGAGCTTCCCAAAATCTTTTCCAAAGGAAGACAGTGGGGAGGACTGAAGGCAGTCACAGCAAGCATTATGTTTTCCCATATGATCCCACAGCACTGACATTTTGGGGAGGGATCTATCCATGGAGAAACAGGAGGCTTACATAGACAGCCTTTCTGTCCGCTTCTCTACCTTCTTCTTCTGTCTTTCCCACACAAACTTTTGCTTACTTAAATAACAATGAAATCAGAAAAAAATACTGTCAGCAACCAAGAAAACAATCAGTGGGATAACTTGGATGTATCCTCTCTAAAGGTATTATTGTTGTCCCCTTGTTTCGGTTTCCATGCTTGATCCCCCTCTTGTCTGATGCACTAAAGAGCAAAGATTAAAGCCAAATTCTTTAATTTAGATATTTAAAGAGACATCCTCAGCAGTCATTACTGCTGAGCTGATTAGCAAAGGAAACCAGGGCAACATTTTCAGGAGGATTTGGCAAATTTGGAGCCTTCAGTCATCTTTGGGGTTGAACATTCTTGTAGGCCTAGCAGGATACTTCTTCGAGCCCTGCTGTGATGTCTAGGTGTCACCACGTGGAAATTAACACAGTTAGCCAGTCAATGACAAATAAAACGATGTTGGATCACAAGGACATCCACCAGAACCACAGCAACCAGCTGGGGAGCTCATGTGAACAGCTGTCAGCTAAAATCCAGCTCCCAGGACCAGAGTCTACCCTTGTAACCGAGAGCTGTTCTCGCCACTGGCAATATAAACTCATTGATTAACAAGGGTTGAACCAGCACAGAAGTTGACTGGAATGAAGTAAAAAAGCAGTCCAGACCCACCTAACTCCCATTCTGCCCCCTCAACTAAAGCGAGATGAGGATGTGCTCCTCCTCTCCCCTCTCCCCACCATTCAGCTTTCGGTCCCTCCTGCGCCCAGTCTGAGAAAGCCGGGAGGGAGGGGGGAACAAAGGCAGCCCCGGGAGGAAGAGGGGGGCGAAGAAACCCCCTCGGCCCCTGTGCTGGGAGGGTCCCCCCGAAGCCGAGAGCCGCCGACCTCCGAGGCCCTGCCTTCCCCGGGCAGAGAGCCCCAGCAGTTATTAATGTCGCTGTCACCACCCCGCTGCTGGGTATTTTTCTTTCAGCTGATGGGAACACGGTCCCCTGGAAAAGCCCGAGCATCACTACGGGCTCTGATCGCCCATTTCCTGAAGCAGTTTACCTGAAGGGCCGTGTCTAATCGAGTGATTATAAGGGCACTGATTTACCTTATCTGGAACTAAACTGATTATTTCTCATACTTTGTGGCATTTAATAGGAGAAAAGGAGGGAGGAGGACGAGGGGGAAAAAAGCGCTACCTGATTAGGAGTTCAAGAGCCTATTCTGCGGAGCCATAATAAAACTTAAAAAGAATTTGCGAGGAGAAAACAAAGTACCCTTTGTCGAAAACAAAAAAAAAGAGGAGAGAAAAACCTTCCAGTATCCATAACAGAAACCTACACGCCACCCTCCAGCACAAACAGACTTAGGTGCTTCAGGAAAAAAGGCAGCTGACCTCCCAGCAAGAACAAGGATGGTCGGAAAAACATATTCTCAACGGCTCTGCGCCCCGGGACAAACAAAGGGGTTTTAAAGATCAAATTAACGTTATGGCCGAGTCACTCAAGCAAAGCAAAACCAAACATTATTAACACCAAACGGGAAAACGGGGCAGTGCCGCAGATGTGTCACGCAAAGGGAAACCTTTAATTCCGCTGGAATTAAGAAAATGATAAATTCTTTTTATTTTTTTTTTCCGAAGCACCACCAAAGCAATACCAAAATAAACGCTGGTTTCCAGCAGGTAACCCTGCTAAACGCTGCTTCCTTTCCTGTCATTTATTCCAGCCTTTAGCCAGCATGGATTTTCCTTTCAAGAGGGATATTGCAAGTTTGGGTGGGTTATTTTTTTTCCCCTCGGACACCACTTATAGAGGTCACACACATTTTACAAGATAAAGATTCGGGCAATGAGCTCTTTAATATAGGAGGAGAAGCTGACAAACAGAGAGGGCCCTCATCCAGTTCCTATGAAAAGAGAGGAAATATGTGCCCTTATTCAGAAGTTGCATCCTTTTTTTCCCTTTTTTTTTTTTTTAATAACTGAAATTTATGTGCATCAGCAAACTTTTGGGCATTGTTCTTCCTGAACTAAACTGTTCCTTACAGCCTCATGTTTAGTGAAGCCTAAAATTAGAACTGACAGCAATTCACTGCAACAAAGTGGACTTCTTTCCCTGCCTGCCTTGTAGCCCGCATCCCATTCATGGCCTCGAAATCCAGGCATCTCTTGACAACTCATCTGCCAGGAGAAGAAAAATAGGGCAGGGCCGAGGACCGGCGGGGTCCTGCCGCCTCTCCTGGGGAGAGCTCACCTTGGCACCGCCGGTATTCCCGCTCGTCCTCCTCGCCCGTGCCGGCCTTTGCCGACAGGAGCGCGTCCAGGGCTCGCTCGCACTCCCGCAGCAGCGCGGCCACGGCGTTTTGATTATTCATGAAGGCTGATCCCACTCGGCTGTGAATTGGGTGTCCCCGGGTGCGCGGTGATCAATTACTTAAGAGAAGACACGGGTCCTAAATGAAAAGGATCCCTTCAAGGCTTGAGGTACCTGGCAAACAAAGGAGGGGGAAAATGATTAACTAAAGTATCATCAATTATCCAAAAGGCTCAAGCAGGGAGAAATAATAGGGGAAATACATGAAAATACATGACGGCCTCGGAGGACTTTATTAGGGGAGTGTGTGAAATTACTGCAGGGTCCCGGTGACAAAGTCTGCAGGACAAACATCTCCAAGGTGCCAGGGAGGCAGGGCGGGGCTGGAGCAGGGAAACCCCAAGCAGGGAAGTGACTACCCGGGCTGTGCCGGAGCCCTTTGCACCTGGAAGGCTCGGGCTGTCACACACAGTTAGCTGAGACTGAATGGCAGAACTCATGGAAGATGCTGCATGCATTTTCCAGACTGCTGGAACCGTCTTTTTTACCCTGGAACTCCATCCCATGTAGGAATGTTCTCCATGGATGTACCACTGCAAGTCCTTGGGATGCTTAGGACATTGCCAGTGGTGATGCAGGAAAAAAAAACATTTCCATTCCCACATCCAGCTGAGCATCTGCCGAAACAGCTAAGCAGCTTTCAAAAATCAAGCACAAAATAAATAATTTGGGTTTGTTTTTTTTCTATTTTTCCCCGCCAATCTGATGACGGTTTCACTTAAAAAACTGTTCTCACAGCTTGAAGCAATACAGTCAGAAACAGCCTCTGTGAAGACATTTCTTAAATTAGGGAAACAGTGCACTAGAGGAGGAAGGGGAGTGCAGTGCAAAGAAACACACACACAGGCACAGTTTGCTCTGCTGACCAGAAAAGACTCACATTCTAGCAGCTAAATTTCCAGGGAGGTTTTTTTTTCCCCTCTCTGTCACAGCTCTGGGATCGTTGGATCCCCTGGAGCTGGTGGCCGATATCCCGTGTTCTCAACGGCACCGAGTAAGAGCTGCCAGATTGAAAAGCAGAGGGCAAAAGAGATGCACTCATGCGAGTGCAGAGAGGATCAGAGAGCCTGCCATGGAAGGGCAGGTGGAGCAGAGCAAAAGATGGGATTCATCAGCAAAGAGCCTGGAGGCAGGAGCCAGTCAGTGGGACTCTGCAGACAAATGGCAGAGAAAGAAGAAATTTAAAAAGTAGCCGTAAAAAAAGGAGGCCGAGGGCAGGAGCACAGACGTGTGAGAGCAGCTGGGGAGCAAGTAAAAAAGATGGGCCAGAGGCAGAGCCATGGATAAAAACAGAAGGAAAACCCTGAAAGGGTTCCCCATCTTTTTAGCTCCAAGTAAGAGCCGCCAGGGCCACCCCACGCAGGGCACCGTCCTGCAGGGTTTGAGTCAGGTGAGCACAGCTGGGTGTCGGGATCACATCCCTGAGGATGGACCAGGCACAGGGCCCATTTAGGGGCTCCCTTCAGAAGAAAGAGGAGATGGGGTCAGAGGCAGGGCTGAAGACACAGCTACAGCTGTTCAAAGTCCACTCAGGAGATGGGGCTGAACCACCTGTGGCTGGTAAAGATCAGCCTAAAAAAAAGGCCACCACCCTTATGGGATTTGCTCACGGCACAGGGTCCTAGTCCACATCCCAGTTCACAAAGGTCCCCTCTCCCTAGGGACTGCCAGGTTGTCAGGGACAGACATCTCAACCTGGTGACAACAGCCAGAAAGGAGACTCCTCTCCTCCTACCCTGCCAGGTCTGGGAAAGTTGATCCAGTTGCTGGTTATCCATCAGGGAAAAAAGACAGGCAGCCTCCTCTGCCACAGTCACAGTAACACACCTATGCCAGCGTTGCTTGCCCTGCTAACCGCACTGACATCTGCTAATTGATTTCTCTGATTACCCAGCCCTGTGGGAAGGAGTGTGTGCCTGTCCCAGGAGTGCCTCCCAGGTTGGGACGAAGCATCCTGGCCATCTGGCCCTGACTCCACTCCTTTGTGTAATTGATTTCTCAAACCCCACGTTTTCTAGGGAGCCCCCTCGAGTGAGTTCCAAGCAGACATACACCTGCCTCGGATCCACTGTGGACATTAGTCCTGGGAACAGCTTCAGGAGCATGTTGGAGAAGGTCTATGTTCAGCTGCCACCTCACAGCCCCAGTAAATACTAAATGTGCTAGGAAGATCCACTAAAGCAAATAAGCAATGGGACACCTCCCCTTACAAAGAATAACACGGTATTAAGAGCATCCAGTGGAGCTCAGAGCCCAAATTTCGACTTTTAAGCCCAGCTTGTGCTCCCACAGCTTGGAAGATCCCACTGGGTCTTGACTGTAAGCAGGAGGGCCCCGTGGCTTTGTGAGCCACACAGGCTGCCAGTCTCACAAAGAACTGCCGGGACTTAGCAGGGAAGCTCAAATTAGTGTGGAAGTAACAGCGCTTGGCTTCCTTGGGTTGGGAGGGCTTAACTCACTGCCAGGGAAACTGCCAGGTCCACAGCAGTGATATATGAATGTCAGCAAGAGAGGAATTTTTCTTCGAGTATGTTTTTTCCTCCAAAGAATTGAATAAACAGCAAGGACACTCGGAGTAATAAACACTGATTTACGACGGCAGCGACGCCAAAGCGCTGGAACCGCGGAGAAAAAGCGCAATAAACTGTACATTAGCACTGAGAAGGTGGAGAGTCTTTAGAGACCCATCACTGGGGACAATGGCTCGCATCATAAAATCAGCTTAAAACGCACCAAAGAGCTTTAAGCTATGGCAGCATCCTTTACACAGATGCCACTTTGTAAAAGTTGTGTTTCGTGACAGCTGTGGCGTTGAGTGACAGCTGGGAGAGGGGAATAACCGAGCACGCGGCTCATGGACCTGTGGAAATGCAGGACCTGAGACTAAAGCCGAACAGCACAGCAGCAAAATCTTCTGGAGGCTTTTAGAACCCTCTCAGTGGTTACTAATCAGCTTTCCTAAGGTTCCCTTAAATCCTAACAAGTGGTACTTTAAGGAGGCTACGGTTTTGAAGCGATAAAAATTCAAACTGCCTGGACGAAAACGCTTTCTAAGGATGCACTTCAAAATGCTCCTTGAAAACACATAATAAAAACTATTTTGCACCAGATTGAGGATTTAAGCATTTTTTGGTGACAGCTTTTCTCCAGCTTTGGGCACAGGCAGTTTTTAAATGCTTGACGTAATTGTTAGACACTTTGAAACAAAAAGGGGGGAAAAAAAATCTGTGCCATTTCTGGTTGGAGCCCGGATTAAAATAACTCCTCGCATCAAATGTTATGGAAAAAAGAATATTACAAAGGTCTCAGGGGATGAGAAAATACGTTTCTGTGGTTGCCCTCTAATTGGAGCTGGGGTTCAGAACAAGAGGGATGGAGGGAAATATTGGGTGGGCTACAGTGAAATGATCTCTTTAATAAGAAATGGGCCATACTGTGACATTTCAGAGCCCTTGGGCTAGAAGACCAAAAGATCTGTCAAGAGAAAGGAATTTTAAGTTCTACTGTGGATAGAAGGAAGCCTGGGAGTCAATCTAGCCAGTTTAAGACTGCAATTAGCTCTGGAGGCTTTAAGAAAAAGAAGATGTAATTGCTGCATTCAAACTTCAAATGCAGCAAGGATAACAAGCCTTGTTTCTCAGACAACATCGTTTGGGAAATTTTCCACAGCATTATGGCCCTGAAACACAAATTAGGGATCACCAGACCTTTTCTCTCTGAAAATATATTATCCTAATTTTCATCTTCTTCAGGCTACCCTCCAGTTCCAGGGAGACTAATGAAGAGGAAGCAAAGACCTGATGAGTTCCATGTGGAGACTACATTTATGGATTAATCCCAACAGGGAGCAAATAAACCTTATTCCCAGAGCTCTCGGTTGGGACTCGACACAATCAATCGAGGAATGGATAGTTATTTATGACTGAGACTGTTTTGACTTTCAAATAAACATTTTAATTATTTTAAGTGCTACGCTGGAACTTGGGACTCTGAGCCCTTGTTTTCATTTTGCAGCCTTGCTCTCCTGCCTCCTAATCCCAAACCACTCCGGTCATTATGACACTGTGCAAATCATACTGATTTTCACGCCTGGAACATTTGGAGTGTTTGCTAAGGTAAAATCCACAGGCCAGACAAACTAGGGAAAAGGAAGGAGGAAAAGGGAGGAGGAGCCAGTATAAATGAGAGGAACACCCTCAAACTACACTGAGCCTAAAGAGGTGCCCAACTCTGAAACCCCTTTGTAATCATCTTGGCACATCCCGATCCATCGTCGCATCCCACTTTTCTCTGCCTGCTCCCACAAGCCATTTTAATAACCAAGGCACTTAAAAGTGTTTCTTTTCTAACAGCTCATTTTCAATTCAAGTGTCTGCACCACTTGCACTGCTGTTTTTTTCCCTCCAGCCTAATTTGGTGTACTGTGGCCCTTCCACATGGGGCTTCCCTAAGGTTAATGAAGCCACACTCATTTTTAGGGAAGCTCTTTAAGCTGTTAGAGTCTCTTGCTGAATAAAGACAGGGGTGAAATCATGACACAGAGCCAGTGCTGGGTCTATTGTGGCTGGTCCATTTATAGTCTCATCTTCCCTCCATATTATGATATTTTATCTTTCCCTGATTTCTGTAGGAAGACTGCAAAAATATTGATAAATACTGATGGTGGTATTTTTACCTGCAGCAGGTGACAGGGACCGTGCACATCACACAGCACCCTCAGCTGCTCTCCCTCCTGTGGGTTTGTGCACAAGCCTTCTGGAGCCCTCCCCGTCACCCCTGTCAAAAATAACAGGCTCAGCTTTATTTTTTCAGATTTGACAGCTTGAGGGACTGAAAAATAAAACAGGGTGGAAAAAAAAAAGAAAACATGCTTACACTAATTTAGCAAAGGTTTCAATAGCTGATTTAACATCATCTTCCACAGAAGGCACATTCAGTTTCCTGACTATTTCAGTGCACACGTTTGTGTTTTCCTAGAGCATTTACCTTTCTTTGCAAAAAGATGGTTTAAAAAAATATTAAATGGATTTTCTAGGGGCTTTAGTTAGTTAGTTATTAGTTAGTTTACTTCTCTGGCTTAAAGATTAGATGTTTTCTTTTGCTAAAGCTGGGTA